TGCTGCCTCGCAGTCCATTAAATTAACATCACACCTGACTTGAATTCGGCTGAATCTTTGAAGTTCTCTGCGTCCGGACCACTGTGTGGTTCATGTTTGACGTTTTCTGTCCACTTGCATTTCTGTGCATCTGTGATGGACCAACGCTGACCTAACACTTTCAACTGTATGAAATTGACCCGACACTGGTAACGAGAGCTGGGCTTCCAGCTTTCAGCGACCAAGAACCAAAGGTGGCGTATCAGGTCAGGAGACTTGTGGTTTGCTGGCATGCGTATGGTTTTGTGCACCCCGGGCTCACACTGTCAAAGAGAAGTTCTGTGCAAACTGCAGCTGAGCTTTTTGGACAAGCTTCACTAACCGCCCACACTCCCCACCAGACATTTTCCTCTTCATCACATCCTGTACTATTCAGTACTGAGAGCCTTCCTACTATTATGTGCTGTTCTACTGCACAGTCATTGATATTTCCTATTCCGCACTAATAGATACTGCACTATATTCTTCTAATGTGTACAAATATATACTATATTCTTGCATTTAACTAACTCTGCATCATTAAGCTGTCTGACGGCACCGTATGGCTGTGAGACAGCTGCAGCTGGGCTGTGGGGTTATAAGGAGCGTCTTCGTCCTTGCGGTTCATTTTCACAGTCAGATACAAAAAGTAAAGCATTGTGTGTATAACATGTGTTCAGAATTGAGTTATGACTCCAAGCATAAATGTGATGTCTGATGCAAAATGCAGCAATTCAATGCAGAGCATTTTGAAATGTGCTAATTGTCACCGAGAGCTGTGTGCTGGAGCAAGTTCTGCAGAACACGCTGTTAATGATTAAGTTCAGTGGTTCAAACTACAACAATTAACTTCCTGTTATTTTCAGAACGTTGCAATGGATTTGCCTCATAGTTCTCAGGAGCTGATGCTAATGCTAAGCTACATGTTAGTGAGCTTCTGTACAAACATAACACGACACGCTCACACACGCCGCACACTGTCAGACGTGTTGGCTAAACAAACACTTGGATAATTGATTTTCAGTGATACATGCTTGGACACACATACTGGGGAAAAGCTAAATCTCACTGCTGCATCCAGACTTCCATCTCTGCTCGGCCATCTTGTTCGGGGGGTTTGAATACAGTTATGTTAAAACTAAACAACAAAGACTAACATTGTCCAGCTGTGCTGTTGTTTTTAGAGTGTTTAATTTGATACATAACAGTGATTTTTTGATTTAATATCACGTGACTGACAGACACTTGCTTATGTCAGGTGAAAGAAAGAAAAGCGTGTCCCTTCAAATTTAAATGACTCATCACATGTTTCTGTTTCATAGCCTGTTTTGGATTTTTTCCAAAGGATAAAGTTAGAAGACAATCATGGACAGTCATGACTTGAACTGATTCATGATGATGTTTTAATTGAGCACAGACCTCTGCCTGCATACACATTCCCCATGAACAGTATGGCGACTGTGTTAACCCTTTAAGACCTATTATAGAACCAAGTCCGCCAGAGCTTATATTATATTTTTACATGCTGTGGAGCCATTTTTGGGAGCATTTCAAGTTGCTATACATCAATACAACCA